GGCAGCCCTCGTCACCCGTCGCCGGCGATCTCCGGCGCCGACGACCTGGGCCCGATGTGCGACGGCGGCGACGGCGGCGGCGGCGCGTGGACCGCGGGCGCCGAGGACGACGGCATCTCCGACATGCTGCAGAGGTACGGCCTCGACCGCGACGACATCCGCAGCGCCCTGGCCCACGACATGTTCGCGCCCGTCGACCTGAGCCTCGTCAAGTCGGAGGGCGCGGAGGACCCGCCGCCGCCGGGCTGCTGGCAGGAGGCCGGACCGCAGCGGCCGCCGTCGCCGCCGCGCCGGGGAGAGCTCGTCGTGAAACGCGAGCGGGGATTTGCGTTCCCGCCGGAAGAGTCGCCGCCCTCCCCCCCGTCGTTCCCACGTGGGCCCGGTTGCCCGGCCCCGCCGGACGAGCGACGGGAACGGCACGGGGGCCCCGCGCCGGCGCGCCCGGGCGAGGCCTCGGCGTTCGGCCGGCACCAGGAGGCGTCAACCATTTCGCGAGCAGCCCCCGGGGGGGGCGGCGGGTGGCAGCGGAGCGGGCACTGGGAGAGACGCCGCTGCATCTTCAAGTGGGAGGCGCACGACTACGCGGTTCAACTCAGAGCGGACGGTTTCTATGCAGACTTGTAGCGGGGTGCCGGGCAGGCGGACGCCAGTGACTGGCTCTAACCACCGTGCCCACCACACACACACACGTATAAGAATAGGTTTTCCCCTTTCTGGCAATACAACTGTTGTGTTAAGATGTTCAAACACCAAACTGAAAACTTTTGCAAGGAACCACATATACTTGTGGTGAAAATACAAACAAAAAACATGCTGACAGTATATGCATTGTCTTTGAAACTGATTGGTCCACACCAGAGACAGCTTTCTCTAGAGCCTTGTCTCAAACAGTGTTAGACCAGAGGACGCAAAAATACAATGCATATACTGTCAGAGCATGTTTTTTTACACGCTTTTATTTAACTTACTGTATGTGTCGTCGTATCCAAAAATCTTGTAACTCAATTTAAATCGTATTCCCAATGTCGTATCGACTGAAAACTTTGTATAGCTATGTCATACTGGTGACAATACTATATTCTACCATTAAAAAAAATATTTTTTATAAACGATCTTCTTAACGGCTCTAATTGTCCACGCTCAACTGACGTTGCCTGTAAATCACCACGTGGTCCCTTACGTCACGGAAAGCCTCGGGGAGCCACGCCCAGGGGCGGGGGATGTGTAAGGAGGGGAGGGGCGATGTGGGAAGAGGGCAGGGGCAGCTCGGACAGTACATTTCATTAAAGCGTGTTTTTTAAATCCTTTATATTAAGTTCGCTTGCTTGCTTGCTTGCGTGCTTGCTTGCTTGCTTACGCCCGTGCAAATCTTTCGGTCGTTTTTTAACCCACTTCCCGTGATCCAATCGAGCTGACATTTTGCACACAGACTCGTTGTGCAAGACAATTAATGTTCGTGAATTTTTTTTCCCAAAATTTTACACTGTTTAGGGAAAACAAATTAAATATTTAATTACCAATTGCTTAATACTGGCAGACAATTATCTGACCCATAGGTGGCAGCCATCTCAAGCCAGAGGACGAGAGGACTCTAGCCGCCACGCATATAAAGGATTTATAGTGAAAAACTTTGTTTTTACGGGTTATACTTATTTAAAAGTATCTTTAAATATTTTATTTTGTATTTTCATCACAAGTATATATGTGGTTAATGCAGACATGATTCCTTGCAAACGGTTTCAGTTTGGTGTTTTAACATCTTAACACAACTGGTTTTATTGCCAGAAAGGAGAAAACCTATTCTTATATTTTGATACTGGCAAAGGAGGTCACGTGACACACACGTGTCCACGAACGCCATCGCCGGCTGTGATCTCTCCACTGTTGGTCGAAGGGCTTCAGCCGTCGCCATTCATTGCAGTCGCACCGTTCTCTCTCTCCCTCCGAGAATTCGCTGCGAGGAGCGATTTGAACCGAGACCCATTTGTTCGCAAAACGAGCTCAATGTTCACATAACGAGTGGAGACTGATCAATCAAATGCGTTGCGTGGCGGCAGGGGATGCACCGCAGCCCGCCGCAGATGTTTGTTGCTTGCATCGTTGTGCGGCGCTTTCAGATGCGCTTCTGTGGCCGTCTGGTACCGTAACGCTTTCTTCCAATATTGGGAAACCACGAGCTTTGCACTTTTAAATCTAAAACTTGTTTCTTTAGAACTGCTGTGTTTAGTTTGTTGTCCGTCCCCCGCACCTCCGTTTAGCGCGGTTGGCTACGTAGTGCCAAAGACGTTCAACATACGAACGTACAAGCCATCGAACAAAGACGGCCACTGCACCTGCGAGACACTTTCAGATTCTAGATTTGAAGCTTTCGTGACTGCAAGGATTCATACTCTTAGTTCTTTTGGTTTAGTGATGTACGTAAAAAATTATTTTTATTAATTTTAATTTCATTTTTTACCTACGTGACTTTACCGAAAGAACTAAGAGTATACTTTCAGATTCGCTTTTGCGGCCGCCTGGAACGTTCTGCCTTAATATTAGGAAGCCACTGGAGCTATGCACTTTTAAATCATCGTCTAGATCAGCGGTCGGGAACCTATGGCTCGCGAGCCATATATGGCTCTTCCAGTGACGGCATATGGCTCCCAGACAATTTTGAGTTGAAAAAAAAAATCAGTTTGGAACTGATTTTAAAATACTTGTGATATTATTTAATAATACTGTGTCATTTTAAAGTAAACAGAAATTAGTTTTGAAGATGAATTTCACGGGTCACGCCTGCATGAAGCTCAACCTCACCACGTATGAACCAGAATACAAGGCCATCAGCAAAACCACGCGGCACCAGAAGTCGCATTAAAAGTAAGACATATTTATCTTCTTGGTTCTTTCGGTAAAGTCACGTAGAAGGGAAGTAATAAAATAATAAAAATAAAACATAATAAAACAATTCTCACGACGTTTCGGCCACAACGCAAGCAGCCGTCCTCAGGTGAAAACCAGGTCCGTCGAGGCGACAGAGTCTGAATGAAACAGCACACGAGCTTGGAGCATATATATAAGCTGGGCGCATTGACAAAGGAATTTGCATATCAAAAGGAATTTAGCATATTTATGGGAAATGCAGGAATGTGATTAGTACTGCATATGCATGTGCATTATGCAGGATTAACAGCATCAAAGGGAGCTGCAGTTACTGCTGCTGCAGCAGTTGCTGCTGCTGCTGCAGTTTCTGCTGCTTCTACGTGACTTTACCGAAAGAACCAAGAAGATGAATCCCTGCAGTCACGAAAGCTTTAAATCGAAAGACATATTTAATTTATTATACGTTAAAAAATACTATATGGCTCTCAATGAAATATATTTAGAAATATTTGGCTTTTACGGCTCTCCCAGTCAAAAAGGTTCCCGAACCCTGGTCTAGATTGATAAACTCATTTCTTTACAACTGCTTTTTGTGTTTAGTTTATTTTGTTCTTTCCCGCATCTCCGATTAGCGAGGTTGGCTACGCACGGTGTGGGAGAAGGGTGACGCTGAGGACAGGCACCTGCAGAAACTGCGGCTCTCCATGTGTGATGTTACACTTGATGTTTTATTAGTTTATTTAAAAATCAGAATTTGCATTTCTCACGTTAAAAAGGTTGTTCAAGAGTGGAACATTTTGGGGCCGAAACGCAACTCGGCGTTTGAACATGGCAGTCGATGGGAAAACGACGATCATTTAACGAGTTTTCCCTTAACACGCCTGCATCATGATTATTATTATTCATAGCCAAGGCAAGTTTATTTGTTTAGGCCGGTGGGAACTCAAGAGAGCAGAATAGTCTCATTTGGCAAAATCGATTAAATGAAATACAGCCACTAGCAAGATAAGTATATATGATTAGTACTTGAAATCAGGTCTTACAATTCCTGCGTACAACCTACACAAAATCTTCACTTTTGGATATTGACACTTTACATGAAGTCAGTGGTTCTTCTTAACCTGTGCTGCATGCTGCACTCCCTGGGGGTGCGAGATGCCCTTTCTAGGGGAGGTGGCGAGACGTGGCCAGATTTATTTTAGAAGGCAAATCATAGACAACACAAATTGAACACGGGCACGTTAAGTTACAACAAACTTTGTCATCAAACCCGATGTATTTATTAACATACATTAATTTACCGATTGAGAATCAAAAGGGGTGCAAGACTGCAGTAACGGCTAGGAACCACTGCTTTAATGGGACGGACATGGTATAGCAGCAAGGTAATATTGCTAATATGGGTTGCGTTCACTTCACTTGCAACACGTGACACATTTCACGACCCTATACAAACAGAAGGGACACGTGCAATTATAAGGTTTTGGAGGGAGCGGGGAGATTTGAAAATATTTATAATTGGACAGTTGTGTAGGATTTGCTGATGAAAGTCGATTGGTATACGTTGTACGAATGGTTCGCGCCTTTGATTTTGTTTTCCTAGTCAGCATTGTTGATTTTGTAGCATTGTTTAATTTCTCAGTTCACTGCTGGAATATGGACCTTCCTTTGTTGCAGCATGTGGGGCCTATTTGACCATACCTCATAACACTGGTTGGTGAAGACGTGGAAGCATAGAGGTACAGCACAATGGGTGTTGCTGCATTGCGATCTACTGCCCACTGCTGTAACCCTGTAGCATTGTTTACTGTGATTACGTCTTTAAAAAAATGCAATATTTTGCTTACGACTAATGACAATCATCTTGCGGTTGCTATGAAATGTTTTCTCCATACGTAGTAAAGACCTGTAATTTCTGCATCACTTTGTTTACGTGTTATTTTTAACAATGACTCGTGTGTGCGCGTGCACGTGCGGTGTGTGGGCGAGTGAGCCTGGTGACTCAATACCATTTTATTCATTTATTAAGCGACCGACACATTACTAATTCACAAAGTATTCACGGCAGAATCTGGAATTTCCAGAACGTGGTATGCCATTCAACCGCCCTCCCTGTACCCCCCCCCCCCCGCCCAAATATTACGTATCACTTTGCAATGGGGTACACTGCACACCCCAACCTGACTGCCTTGACACCAATGCAAGCTACTAAATGCAAGTCCCACATTTAATTTTCATATCGTATACTACAGAAACTCTCTTAATTGCCCCATCAAAATATCGAACCTATATACAACATTTCTAAAGATCCGGATTTTGTTTTGCTCCGGATTAACCTGAAAAAATGACATCACTTTCGAGCTACTTCCCACCCGAACAAAAAGTAATGTCATGTGGCACTATTGTGGGTAGGAAGATATTTAAAACAGTACACAATGCAAATTATATATTTTTTAAACAGCACAAATTGTTGTCACATATATCTTTTACATAGTCCGTTCACTCCGTTAGCCTAAAACGTAACGCGAGTATGTCAATTCCACGAATGTTAAACAATAAATATTACAGGCGTAATTATTCTCCGCATTTCACGTCGGGTGGAAGAATCAATTTTAATCGATGAATCGTCACATGGCCCTGGGTCGTGGCCTGCGATGCCTCTGACCGGTCGTGTGTTCAGGCCACGGCGCACTCGCCCACTTGTGGATCTAAATTTTTGTAACTGGCTGCATTTCGAACATGGAAACCTTCCAAAACATCTGGCACACAATGCCAACAAATACGATTTTTGGTGGTGGCGCCAATTCATTCTCAAAAGCCGCCACTCAGGCGCTGCTTCCTAAACACGCTGAAAACCGCTGGGTTACAGGCAGCACCAAACTGTGTTAGCCTGCCGACAACCAACCCTCTTTTCCACTACCAGGGTTTATCGAATTTACTTTCGTGAAAATCCACCGCTGTACGACAGCAACAGCAGTGCAATCAATCCCTCCGGGCCCCAAACTTCCCATAAGCATATGGAATCGAGGGAGTGGCTTAATTTCAGCCGGGCCTGCGACCTGGCACACCACATCCAGCATACCACCCCTCGCTACGGCTGTGGCTACTACTAGTCACGCGCACACAACACTCTCCAGTCCTGCCAGCGACCCGCGATACATTCGGCGAGAAATTCAACCTTGGTAACGACGGTAACGAGAGCGACGGCACTCATCACTCCGCTGGTGGCGCCGCTAGTGGCGCCGCCGCCGCCGTGGGCTCCTGTGCGAGCGACCGTTGCGCGCGCATGGCGCCCGCCCGCTCGCACAGCTGCTGCGCACGCTGCAGGCAGAAGCGGAGCGCCTGCGCCGCGTCTGTGCCCACGCGCTCGCGCCAAACCCGCTCCAGGTCGTCAAAACGGCGTAGCGTGGCCTCCAGCGCCTCCTGCACCGCGCGCTGCTCCTCCAGCTCGGCCTGCAAGCGACCCCTGCGGGGTGGGCGGGCAGGGTGGTAGCTTGTTCAGAGCATCGGAGGGTAACGTCGGTTCGTCTACGGACATTTTCACCGGTTGGTGATAACGCGCAGATCTGCCGGCCGCGCTGGTCTTCTTCCATACACCCGCATCCTGTCCTGGGCCATGATTCTTTACCAAGTGAGAGCCCAGTGAGCCAATCGTGTCCAAATGCAGGAATGACATTTCACAACTTTTAATTATGGAGGGTAATTAATGGGGTGGAGGCATAGGCCCGGATAAAACAAAAGCACGGCAGCTTGCGAGCGTCGCGTGCGTCGTGTGCGTAGCGTGCATGGCGTGCGTGGCGTGCGTGGCGTGGGTGGATAACGAGCAGCACGTACTGGATGTCCATCTCCTGCCGGTGCCGACTGCGCATCTTGGCGAGCTCGGTGTCGAGCTGGCGCTCCTCGTCTGCGTCGTTGGCGAGCGGCGCGGCGTGCAGCTGGTCCTCGGGCAGCAGCACGCCGGGCGGCACCGTGAAGACGCGCTCCGCCATGTAGATCTCAATCAGCTCGAACGTCATGTCCAGCTGCGACTGTTGGCGAGGTAGAATGAGAATCGTTGAACCTACGCGTGTTCTCCTCCCTCGCTTCTCCCCCAGGTACTCTCGGGATTTTCCTCGCAAACCGAACAAAACCTTTCGGTTTCCTGCAGAAGCTCCCACGCACGTGAAGAGAAACGTCGGACATCGTGCTAAACAACCCACAGCAAGCACATCGGAGCTGCTAAATAGCACGACCACCAAACTGTGCGCAGTAGTGTTTGTCGAATGTAAACAAAGTAAATCGAGTATGCGCGAACATTTGTTATTCCGCACTGTTACGAGACCAGTACATCATGGATGCGTGCCGATCGCGCGTCGTAAGCTCTTCGGAATAACACGGTTTTTCCGCCCGTTGTAAAAAGCTGGCTCGGAAACTCCCAAGGAGTGGGATGCTGAACATCCGCCCGTGGGCGACGCGCACCTTCATGTGGTCGATGAGCAGCTGGGTGCCTTGGCGGACCTTCTCCACGGAGGAGGATTGGCTCGCTCCGCGCGCCACGTTCTCCAGCACGCAGTCCTCCACCGCCTTGAGCACGCTGTAGATGTACTCCTGCACCGCGTTGTACATGCCGTCCAGGCACGACTGCGGCGTGAAGCCAAAGTGCTGCGTCTCGTACATCATCAGATTGCCGTCCGACATCGCGACCGCGTCTGAGAGAGAGACAGGGGCGATCAGAAAGGGGGCACGGGTAAGATTATTAACGATTTCCCAACAAACTCAGATTCGTCAACACACACTATACACCACTTGTACACTTTGTATGTTACCAGGTAAGGTCCACTGAGCTATATAGCTGTTTTGCAGAAGCGACCTGGCCACAAAAGATAGGTCAACGAAGTGGCTTATCATGTGGGAATTGAATACAGCCAAATACTCTAAACGCATGTTTCTAAACGTAGATGGAAATATCGGGAGAAAAATCCACGTGACCACGGGGAGAGAGAGCATTAAAACTCCAAATATACAACAGGCGTCAGGGTCGGGATCGAACCCACAACCTCGTGTACACCAAGACACATTTTTTATAAGCGACGTTTCAGGCAATGCTTTTTCTCCATGGCATATTTTCAACGAAGGATGAACGCGTTTGTGCATTTAGTGTCTGTCAATGCAGGGAGCTACACGCCTTTGAGAGCAACGCCACCAGGCAAAGTAAGCTCGGATGGACAACGACCACCAAGCATAAAGTACAGAAAGCTCAACACATTGGTCAATATATACGACGTTTCGTCCTCTCTTTAGGTGAGAATGAGTGAATACTTTGCGGCGGTATGTTCAAAAGTTGACTGATAATTTCCCTTTATTATTAGCTCTGTCCGTGTGGTCAACAATCCACTGCTCCATAATATTTTTTTTGGGTTAGATCACGTAAATATATTAAGGTCATTAAAACCCGCCACCACCCAACACAGCAAACTAGTAAGCGTTGTCACGTAAACAGAACATGCCAATTCGTCACCAGTACAGCACACCGGTGTGTTGGAGAGCCAAGCCACAACATTTACACCGCTTTCCATAATTTAGGTTTTTGGGTTAGATCGCGTAAATATAAATGCGTCGTTAAAGTCGCCAACACCTGGCACAACCAATTAGTAAGGTTTGTCACGTAAACAAAAACATGCCAATTCGTTACTAGTTCAGCACAACGGTATGTTGGAGAGTAAACCCACATTTACAATTCGAGTAACGAATCGGAACGTTTTATTTACGTGACAAACCTTACTGCAGTAATTGGCTGTGTCGGGTGGTGGCGGGTTTAACGACACATTTATATCTACGTGATCTAACCCAAAAACCTTTATTGTGGATAATATTGGTCGCGAAAGCCCGACTACTAAGTGTTCAACTAATCCACTGCTGCACAGTGATGCCATCTCCTGGCCACTTCGCTCACGACTACCACAATTAGGTCCTGGAACAGACCAGGCGCATTCTTAGCTGAGCTTTGGCGATTCTACAAATGTCACTTCACCATCACCAACACTGTGTCCGTATGTTCAACAATCCACTGTTGCAGTGATGCCATCTTCTGGCCACTTTGCTCACGAATACCACAATTAGGTACTGGAACAAACCAGGCGCATTCTTAGCTGAGCTTTGGCAACTCTGCAAGTGTCACTTCACAATCACCACCACTGTGTCTGTCTGTTCAACTAATCCACCGCTGCACATTGATGCCATCTCCTGGCCACTTCGCTCACGAATACCACAATTCAGAACTAGAAGAGTCCATACTCTTTGGTTCTTTCGGTAAAGTCACGTAGGTAGAAACTAAATAAATCACGACGTTTCGATTGCAACACAAGCAATCATCATCAGGTGGGAAAACCACAGCAAGAAGACTCCAGGCGCTTTAATAGCAGAGCTGACCCTGCAAATGCCACATCACCATGACCTTCCCCCCCCCCCTCCTTGTTCTGAAGAAGGGCCGTTGCCAGAAACGTCGGCAAGTTATACATAATTTAGCTTACAAGGCGACTTTGGTTACACATAACAGAAGCATGGAACGTGTGTGTGTACTACAGTACGTTGGACTTCTTTCGCACCGTACGTAGCCAAGCGCACGAATCGGTAGCTGCGGGGGGAAAAGAACAAACTAAAGACACAAAACAGCTTTAAAAACATGAGTTTGTCCAATCTTGATTTAAAAGTGCTTATATCCAGTGGCGAACTAATATCGGAAGTTAGTGAACGACGAATCGATACCCCGATTCGGCAAAATACCACCACTCATTAGGCTCATCAAACTCCCCGATGTTAACGCTGCTGTTGCTTAACAGATAACGGAACAAAGAAGTAGACAAACTCTTTGGTTATTTCGGTAAAGTCACGTAGGTAGTAAATAAAATAACTTTAATCACGAAGTTTCGATCGCAACACAAGCGGTCGTCATCTGTTCATCAGATGACCGACGCTTGTGTTGCGCCCGAAACGTCGTATTCTATTTTATACCTACGTGACTTTACCGAAAGAACCAATAAATAAATTAAAGCTTCAAATCAATAAATAAGTAGACGTTTATAGGAGGGGGGGGGCTAGCGATGATTTGCGTTATTATTAAAACCTGACGCGTTGTTTCTACACACCGACTTTTACGAGAAGTATCCCCTCATCGCGTCCCTTCTCATAACCCCCACCAAGCTGCTGATGCTTTTAAAAGACAAGAGAGTAAAGCTGCGTCTTTACAATCCCGAGAATTCGGCGAGCGCGAAGTGTATATAAGCTTCAAATCTAGAATTAAGTGTATAGAGTGTTGAGGTGATCGACAGAGGTAGGCCCTTGAAGGGCTCTGGCACGGGCAAACGTGGCTTAAACTCACCTAAAACAGGCGGGACGCCCCGTAACGCATCGGTTAATCTGGGGCTAGAGTTAAATCGCCTCAGTTTAGTCGATAAATTGCCGCCGCCAGCTGTAATCGTCGAGGAATCAACTCACTTTGGGTAGCGTGGAACTTGCGGCCTGCGAGTCGTCAGTAACTTTTTCCCGCCAAATTTACGAGCGGGTTTAAATAATTAAATTATTTGCGTCCCGCTTTACCTTACGGAAAGCCAGCGGGGCCAAGTGTCCGCTGTTGTAAACGAAACGCGTTTTGTTTAATATAAACTATAATAAATTTATATTTTACAAATGAACCGCATTAGAGTATTTGTTGATCTACGTACCTAAGAACAGGGGTCCTTGCATAGCTCTTAAAGTGTGTAAAAAGGGACTCACCCTGATTATTGTTATTATTTATCCCAAGAGCTTGGGGTAGGGCACAACTTTAACAATGATTCGAAGCTTTCGTGACTGCAGGAATTACTCTTTGGTTCTTTCGGTAAAGTCACGTAGAAAATAAAATCTAATAATACTGGTAGGAACCTCCTGGTTACACCAGCCCACAGGGGATTATTGTGTCCGTCCGTCGTGCAGGGAGGGGCTGGGTAGGGGGGAGGGGCTGGGTGGGGAGGGGTGGGGCTGGGTGGGGAGGGGTGGGGCTGGGTGGGAGGGTGGGGAGGGGCTGGGTGGGGAGGGAGGGGAGGGGCTGGGTGGGGAGGGGAGGGTGGGGAGGGGCTTGGTGGGGAGGGAGGGGAGGGGCTGGGTGGGGGGTGGGAGGGGTGGGGCTGGGTGGGGGTGGGAGGGTGGGGCTGGGTGGGGGGTGGGAGGGGTGGGGGGTGGGTGGGGAGGGGCTGGGTGGGGAGGGGCTGGTCACCCCGTGGTGCCCTTATAAAACTCAACGTTTAACCTACTCACGCCGGCTTGTGCCCGCCCTCACAGTCGGCCATATTTGCGGAATACACCACGCCGCCGTTGACCCTGCAGGCCATTGACCGAGCAACCCGACGCTCCTACCAGCTCCCTCCGCAGGAATGTGTTAATATAATACGACGTTTCGATTGCAACACAAGCAACCATCATCAGGTTAGAATGAATGAGAAAAACAAATATAGTAAACTTAGAAACACAATGCTGTTGTGTTGGCTGGCTCTCTGTGTTGTGTTGCATTGTGTAGTGTAGAGTAGTGTATAGTTTTGTAGTGTATAGTGTAGTGTATAGCAGTGTAGTGTGTAGTGTATAGTAGTGTATAGTGTAGTGTATAGTATTGTAGTGTATAGTAGTGTATAGTGTAGTGTATAGTAATGTATAGTGTATAGTAGTGTATAGCGTAGTGTATAGTGTTGTGTGTGGTAGTGTATAGTGTAGTGTGTGGTAGTGTATAGTGTAGTGTGTGGTAGTGTATAGTGTAATGTATAGTGGTGTATAGTGTAGTGTATAGTAGTGTAGTAGTGTATAGTAGTGTATAGTGTAGTGTGTGGTAGTGTATAGTGTAATGTATAGTAGTGTATATTGTAGTGTATAGTAGTGTAGTATATAGTCGTGTATATTATAGTGTAGTGTATCGTATCGTGGTGGCGGCGGCTTGCGGAGGGCATCACCCAGCAGTAGATAGACTGTAGCTGACGATGACCACAGCCGGACACGTGATGGCAGAGTTGAGCACAAACATTCTGTCAACGCATTGAAGGCGATGATTGTAAAATAAAAAAAACGTCAGTGGGACGTCAGCCCTCCCCTTCCAGCTGACCGCACAACTTGTGACAATTCATCGTGTTTTTATTTTAAGCCGAATGGAGAGCTTATTTGTTTCGTGTAGTTTCTTGACAACGACGATGCTTCGGTTTTAATGTGTAATCTTCGTTGCATTCGGGGTAAGTACAGTAAATAATAAAAACCCGCACAAAGAAAACTTCCGGGCCCATCCCTGCCGCGGTCTTCTCGGCGAGTGCGATGCTCACGGAGGATACCAAACAGGCGGGTACGTGCAGGGTATCACGTCCAGGGCCCGGGGTCGTAGGTTAGATCCACGACACTGATACCTGCTGTATATTTATAGTCTGTGTGTCTCTCTCATCATCATCATGACGGTGGCTATGAGATGTTAACTACCTCGCCTGGTGCGCAGGAGGTCGTGGGTTCGATCTTGACACTGAAGCCTGCTGCTGTGTATTTGGAGTTTGTGTGTCTCTCATCATCACGGTGGCTAGGAGATGTTAACTACCTCGCTTGGTAAACAAGAGGTCGTGGGTTCGATCCTGACACTGATACCTGCTGTATATTTATAGTCTGTGTGTCTCTCTCATCATCATCATGACGGTGGCTATGAGATGTTAACTACCTCGCCTGGTACGCAGGAGGTTGTGGGTTTGATCCTGACACTGATACCTGCTGTATATTTATAGTCTGTGTGTCTCTCTTATCATCATGACGGTGGCTATGAGATGTTAACTACCTCGCCTGGTGCGCAGGAGGTCGTGGGTTCGATCTTGACACTGAAGCCTGCTGCTGTGTATTTGGAGTTTGTGTGTCTCTCATCATCACGGTGGCTAGGAGATGTTAACTACCTCGCTTGGTAAACAAGAGGTCATGGGTTAGATCCTGACACTGATACCTACTGTATATTTGGAGTTTGCGTGTCTCTCTTATCATCACGGTGGCTATGAGATGTTAACTACCTCGCCTGGTACGCAGGAGGTTGTGGGTTTGATCCTGACACTGATACCTGCTGTATATTTATAGTCTGTGTGTCTCTCTCATCATCATGACGGTGGCTATGAGATGTTAACTACCTCGCCTGGTGTACAGGAGGTCGTGGGTTCGATCCTGACACTGATACCTACTGTATATTTGGAGTTTGCGTGTCTCTCTCTCTCATCATCATCACGGTGGCTAGGAGATGTTAACTACCTCGCCTGGTGTACAGGATGTCGTGGGTTCGATCCTGACAACTGACACTGACGCCTGCTGCTGTACATTTGGAGTTTGCGTGTCTCTCTCTCATCATCATCACGGTGGCTAGGAGATGTTAACTACCTCGCCTGGTGTACAGGAGGTCGTGGGTTCGATCCACGACACTGACCACTGCTGTATATTTGGAGTTTGCGTGTCTCTCTCCACGTGGTGGTCGCGTGGATGTATTCTCAGGGACCTCCCGTTTGTTTCCTCCACATTTAGAATCAACATCACGCGTTTAGAATATTTGGCTGCTGTAAATTTCTCCGTGATGAAAAGCCACCTAGTTTAGAGTATTTTTGGCAGCTGTGTATTTCTCGGTGATGAAAAGCCACCTTGTTTAGAATATTTGGCTGCTATACATTTCTACAAGATTACGATTATGATTATAAGCCCACGATTCGTGGAAAATATCTAATTGCGATTTTTCTGACAGATATTGTGATTTGATTTGCGATTCAAGCTTAAGTTATATATTCACTGTGTAATCGATTTAAAACATGTGATAGAGCATTACCACATGATACCATCAAAATATGAACTGCTCTATATATTCTAATGCAAGGATGATAACTTAAAATATATTCATTATAAAAAAAAATTTGAAATAGAACAAGCAAACAGAACAATTGTTAAGTTAAATACATTAAGTTATAAAAATAATAGAAAATCAAACAATTCCAATAAGAAATATGACTTTTCAAATCGCAAAAAATCGCAGCTTTTTCGATTTGCTAATCGCATTGTTTCAAATTTCGATTTGAAATCGATTAATCGATCAGCCCTACTATATAGGCAAGCTCGGTGGGGCCATGCAACCTGGATAAAATGAAAACATGAACATGTAGTTGTTTAAAGTGTCTCAACGTGGTATTTCAATTCGTGAGTTTCTCAACCCCGGCGAGATACGCCACCTCTGCTGGTTCTGTCACCCGGGGTCGGGCCACCTTTTCCCCGCGGGCGCTCAGGAAAGAGCGCAGGGTACGTGGAACGTGTAGGCCGCGTTGGGTTAACGATCGCGGTTACAATTTTAAGTTAGGCAGTCAGTATATTTTTGGTTCTTTCGGTAAAGTCACGTAGAAGGGAAATAATAAAAGAAGTATTTTTATTATTTACCTTCGGTAAAGTCACGTAGAAATAATAAAAATAATTATTTTTTATAAAAAAATGTATTTTATATATCGATTTGAAATCGATTAATCGTTCAGCCCTAGGCAGGTCAGTATATTCTTGGTTCTTTAGGTAAAGTCACGTAGAAGGGAAATAATAAAATAAAAGTAAATTTTTCTTTTTATTATTTCCCTTCTACGTGACTTTACCGAAAGAACCAAAAATATGAATCCCTGTAGTCACGAAAGCTTTAAATCGAATTTTAGGCGGTCGGTGTTTGTTTGTTTTTCTAAAGCGTTAAAGTGTTACGTTACGACTGCTGCGTTGATGCTCAAGTGTGGTTCTAACTTGTTGCATGATATTTTTTTGGGGTAATTTTTGCAGAGTTGAAGATATCAGTGTGAATTGCGGGCTACGCACTTTTGTGAGCACATGGTGTATCTGCTAAACATAATATTACACATTTTAATGTTAAATGGAACACATTATGAAAGGCATTCAACAGTACATGTCATCTTTACTTTATCGTATGTCAACAGTGGTTGTGCCAAGGTTGGATCGACTGCGGCCAAAGTAACGTGGAATTTCCACCACTGTGCTTAAGGGCTGCAAACGGGATATGAATTTCATTTTCAGTTTTAATAACGCGTAGGCTTTTGTTTTCATTTTTTATGTCATTTTCGTTTGCACAGAAATCCACTTTGATGTTTTAACCATAAACATTGAAGTTAAGTCCTTTTGGTCTTAAGTGGATCACTTGACACGGCTGACCGGGGGAATCATCATTATTTGTTGACACTTTTGACCATTTGCTTAAGACTATAAATGCAATACAGTACTGCAAGTGATGTCACTTCATGTTTTGCATAATCGGCTAAACAATGACGTTTATTGTTTACCCACATAGAATAAGGTGGATGATACAGCCCGAGAATTAGCTTTAACACATTCCTGCGGAGGGAGCTGGTAGGAACGTCGGGTTGCTCGGTCAATGGCCAGGGTCAACGGCGGCGTGGTGTATTCCGCAAATATGCCCGACTGTGAGGACGGGCACAAGCCGGCGTGAGTAGGTTAAACGTTGAGTTTTATAAGGGCACCACGGGGTGACCAGCCCCTCCCCACCCAGCCCCTCCCAGCCCCTCCCCACCCAGCCCCTCTCCACCCTCCCCTCCCCACCCAGCCCCTCCCTCCCCACCCAGCCCCTCCCTGCACGACGGACGGACACAATAATCCCCTGTGGGCTGGTGTAACCAGGAGGTTCCTACCAGTATAATGTAACCGTTGAACTTGCTGACGTGTGTTCTTTCGGTCACATGGGCAGCACGTCACTGACCCTCAACGAGTGAGGAGCAGCTCGTAATTTTAAAACAGCGTGCTGTGCGAAATAAAATAGAAATTTCGATTTAAAGCTTTCGTGACTGCAGGGATTCATCTTCTTGGTTCTTTCGGTAAAGTCACGTAGAAGGGAAGTAATAAAATAAAAAAATAAAAACATAATAAAATATTTATTTTTATTATTTTATTACTTCCCTTCTACGTGACTTTACCGAAAGAACTAAGAAGATAAAATAGAACGTTACGCGCGAAAGTGAGCTGGCCAACGTCTTGGTCGGCATCGTCGACTGTGGTCCGTTCCGTTGCGTTTTCAGCGACGGTAGGCGGGATCGGCAAAGCGGAGATGGAGAGGACGGATCGCGAGGCGATGGAGACGGCGGTGCAGCGCGTCGCCAGCATGCTGCAGCGGCCCGACCAGCTGGACAAGGCGGAGCAGTACCGGCGGAGAGAGGCACGCAAGAAGGCGTCCGTGGAGGCCCGCCTCAAGGTGCGGTCGCTGTACATGCAGGGAGGGGTAGAACCTTTTCCTTTCCGAGGCCCGAATCTTGATCATCATCATGAGCCGTGATCGAGCCACCCTTGGGTTACGTGAAGAACGGATCGAAAGTACGTCTTAAAAGGGCCGACTAGGACTTTCAACATCCCGGATCGTTTTTTCCATTGCACAACAGGCCCATGCGATTGACGTCACGCGCGATTAACGATGAGTCGGTGTCCAGACATTGTGCTGACGTCACATTCGATGAATGCGTTGAGATAATAAATAATAATTATGATTTACAATTGTAAGGCGCGTTTCATCCGTAGATCCCAATTCGCCGAGATGCATGTAGATGTGTAGTGACTGATGTCACATGCAATCGGCATGTCATTAGCCCCCACCCCTGCCTGGCCCTGCTTGGCCCTGAGCTCGATTCCATTGTCTTGTGAGGCCTGCATATCCCCGTTTGGTTCTGGCTTAACACAGCAAATAGCCAACAGAAAAACCACCTGTACCGTGATGGCCTCCGCTGATCCGGCTTGGATGGATGTGCCGATGGGAAATGGGTAATAGTTGTCGGCGTCCGCTATACCCGCCCGGCGCAGGCGGCGATCCAGTCGCAGCTGGATGGTGTGCGCACGGGGCTGTCGCAGCTGCACACGGCGCTGAGCGACTCGTGCGAGGTGCGTGGGTCGCTTGCCGACGTCGGCCGCGACTGGCAGAGCAGCATCGCCGCCATCGAGGGCCTGCGCGACGTCAAGGACGCCGTGGTGCAGCACAGCCAGCTGGCGGCCGCGGTCGAGAACCTCAAGAACATCTTCTCGGGTGAGCGGCGGTAGCGGCGGTAGCAGCAGGTGCGTCGCGGGACCCATCCCCCCCCTTCCCCCATCGTTTTGTTGTGGCAAGCAGGGTTCTGGGAAAGGTTTTTCTACAATCGTTATTTCTACTTAAAGCTTTCGTGACTGCAGGGATTCATCTTCTTGGTTCTTTCGTGACTTTACCGAAAAAACCAAGAAGTGACTTTACCGAAAGAACTTAAGAAGATGAATCGTTATTTCTGTTCTGCAGTATGCAGAAATGGGCCATATCTTTAGGATAGAAATTCAACTAGGCTAATTCAACAGCTGTTACTAGGGACAGCAAGCAGGGTTCTGGGAAAGGTTTTTCTACAATCGTTATTTCTATTTAAAGCTTTCGTGACTGCAGGGATTCATCTTCTTGGTTCTTTCGTGACTTTACGGAAAAAACCAAGAAGTGACTTTACCGAAAGAACTTAAGAAGATGAATCGTTATTTCTGTTCTGCAGTATGCAGAAATGGGCCATATCTTTAGGATAGAAATTCAACTAGGCTAATTCAACAGCTGTTACTAGGGACAGCAAGCAGGGTTCTGGGAAAGGTTTTTCTACAATCGTTATTTTTACTTAAAGCTTTCGTGACTGCAGGGATTCATCTTCTTGGTTCTTTCGTGACTTTACGGAAAAAACCAAGAAGTGACTTTACCGAAAGAACTTAAGAAGATGAATCGTTATTTCTGTTCTGCAGTATGCAGAAAAGGGCCATATCTTTAGGATATAAATTCAATTAGGTTAATTCAACAGCTATTACTAGGGATAGCAATGATATTAAATATTAGGATTAGGGATGGTAGAGAAATACATCTTAAGAAAGCCTCAGGTACAAATTGAATACCCTATAATATTTGTTGTAAGTGCAATTCATATGATTTACATAGCCATATTGAACATGTTGTAAAAAAAACTGTAAATCCAATCTGGATATGTTACATTTAAAAGTTTTATAATATTCTTAAAAAATATTCTTTGTACTTAAAATGTCTTGATGGGTTTATTTAAAAATACAGGTTAATGAGTTAACCCGAGCGCACTGCGTGCGGTTCCCACTCACAGTGGCGGATGTCTGAACCAGCTCAGGGCCTCCCTTAGGTCGACTCAGCCTGGTGCGGTGTGTGAACATTGGGGAGGCAAAGGCGGCCGGGCGTAGCGCTGACCAATCACCCCGTCGTGCGCTGTCGCCGGCCTTCATCGCAGCTTGTTAGCAGCGCTTGCACCCGACGGTCTGTCGACGGCTCATACGAGGAGGGGATCTTTGCGGCTTTTGTTGACGCGCGCACGTTGTAACCCCCCGTGCCCGTCTCAGTGCCGGAGATCGTGCGCAACACGCACTCGCTGATCGAGCAGGGCCAGCTGCTGGAGGCACACACGGCGCTGATGGAGCTGGAGAGCTCGCGCGACGAACTCCTCTACGAGCAGTACCGCATGGACCCGCGCAACACGGCCGACATGAGCCTCATCAAGGCCTACTTCTCCGCCACCAGCGAGCTGTCGCACGCCCTCGCCAAGCAGCTTTGGCTCGTGCTGGAGAGGGCGCTGTCCACCGTACGCAGGTACAGCCTCTTCCTTGCTGGCATTTACCCCCCCCCCCCCAATCTTTTCTGATGATGATAATTGTTTTTTTACCCTTTTATCTGGCAACAAAACTGACACCTTTTTTACAAGGAGTCATGTTTACATTGACCACAATACCTGCAGTCGGAATGCAAACAAAAAACATAACTCTGATAATGTATGCACTGTCCTTGAAGTTGATTGGTCCACACCCGAGACAGCTTTCCTTAGAGCTTAGTCTCACATGGTGTTGGCGTCATCTGGTCCAACACCATGTGAGACTAGGCTCTAAGGAAAGCTGTCTCGGGTGTGGACCAATCAACTTCAAGGACAGTGCATACATTCTCAGAGTTGTGTTTTTTGTTTGTATTATGACTGCAGGTATTGTGGTCTATTCAAACATGACTCCTTGTAAAAAATGTGTCAGTTTTGTTGCCAGATAAAAGGGTAAAAAAACAATTATCATATTTTTTACTGGCAAATGAGGTTCCAATGGTGTTTTCTGATGATTATTATTTTCTCCGATAAGCACGGTTGGCTACGTACGGTGCGAAATAAGTTCAGCATACACACATACATACGTAAAGCTTGTTCATCCAGAAAAGCCTCGGTGAGTCTCAAGACAACTTTTTTTTCTGGAGGGTCCTGCCAAGTTTTTGGTGTTGGGGTTGAGGTTCTAGATTTGAAGCTTTCGTGACTGCAAGGAATCATACTCTTAGTTCTTTCGGTAAAGTCACGTAGGTAAAAAATGAAATTAATATTAATAAAAATAAAACAATTAAATCACGACGTTTCGGAGGCAACACAAGTCTCCGTCATCAGGTGGGACCGTCACAGCCAGATTTGCTGCATCAAGTGAGGCAAGGGCTTGCATCTTGAATCCCTCCCTCACTTGATGCAGCAAATCTGGCTGTGACGGTCCCACCTGATGACGGAGACTTGTGTTGCCTCCGAAACGTCGTGATTTTATTGTTTTATTTTTATTAATATTTCATTTTTTTACCTACGTGACTTTACCGAAAGAACTAAGAGTATGGGGTTGAGGTTCATTCGTATAATCCCAATTGAGTCATTGGGACGCTCTTGCAGCTACTCGTATCCGCCACTGTTTGGTTCTGGCTCTTAGAGCAGCGGTCCCCAACCTTTTTGGCACCAGGGACTGGTTTCGTGGAAGACAATTTTTTCAAGGACCGGTGGGGAGGGGGGGTGTTCATCATTGGGTCTTTCCCCCTTTTCAAAGCAGCTCTCCGGCGACGTTTGTTTTTTACTCATTCTGGCTAGGGGTTAGAGCTTGTGGGCTTAACAAAACTGTGTGGCTGAGACAAGTGCGCAGTGCGGAACAGAGGCACGGACAGAAGCGGTGAATAAAATAATGGGGGCGGGTTCCACGCGCGGACTCGCCGCTCTCACCTCTTGCTGCTGTGTGGCCCGGGGGTTGGGAATCCCTGTCCTAGAGCGCCTCTGCAGGGTATTTATTATTTCGATTTAAAGCTTTCGTGACTGCAGGGATTCATCTTCTTGGTTCTTTCGGTAAAGTCACGTAGAAGGGAAATAATAAAATAATAAAAATAAAACATAATAAATAATCAGGTGACAGACCTGGTCTTGTGACAGACCTGGTCTTCACCTGAGGACGGCTGCTTGCGTTGTAGCCGAAACGTCGTGAGAATTATTTTATTATGTTTTATTTGTATTATTTTATTATTTCCCTTCTATGTGATTTTACCGAAAGAACCAAGAAGATGGTATTGATTATCTCAATTTATATAGCGCCTTAATCAGGGTGCTTTACGCAGAATTAACAACGGTACAACCTGTGTGAATGTAATGGTGGAGATGGCGTGAATGAAACGGACGAGAGGAAGCAATGGGCAAATCTGTAATGCGTGAATTCGATGAAAGCAAATGACAGTAAATGGTGATGAATGAATTGAATGAATGGGGATTGAGTGATAGCCATGTCATGAGACTGAAGAGAGAACAGTAACGGTGGTGGTGGTGGTGGTTATGAGGGGGAGATTAAGAGCTAGGGAACAATTAGTGAACTTTAGGTGAGGAGCTACGAGAACGACTCCACTTATCGCGGCTTCTGTACCCTCTCGCTCTGTAACCGACACTCGGCGAGCAGAGACCCCTCCTTGCTGGTGTCGGTGCTGCGCATCATCGAGCGCGAAGAGAAGCTGGATCAGCGCGCCCTCGACAGGGAGAAGCAGTCCAGCTTCCTGCCTCCGGGACGGCCCAAGGTAATGGAGCGTGTTTAGCGGTTGACTCGGCGTTATTTGGCGGGCAGATTATCCGGATTGCGGATTCAACCGTGCCCTTTTATTGACACGCTCGCTGGTTCTGCCGTTAGCTGCTGCTCACTCTTCAAGGTTTCTTCATGATCTAGCTGGACGGATAAGTTAAGTTGCTTAATCGGCTAAATAAAAAAAAATTGTAGTTATTCAACATCCTGCCTCCCAAAGGCAGGAAACCCATTACAAGCCACGCCCACTGTGATTTGGCTAATTATGTTGATGATGTCACCGAGCCCCATGCAGCGCCACACTTGTTTAATCGCAAATTAAAAATGTTTGAGGAGACGCGTGTGCACAAACACACACACACACACACACGTGCACGTTGGAAAGCGTTACAGAATCCTGACCTCTCTCCCTCGTTGCACACGCACACACAAACATGTCGTCGTCATCGCCATCCAATCTCGCCAGGCGTGGAGGAAGAAGTGCATGGACGTGATGGAGAGCACGGCGCGCACGCGCATCGAGGCCAACCAGCCGGACGAGCGCGGCTCTGACCGCATGTGGCTGGTGCGCCACCTGGAGATCTCGCGGCAGTACGTGCTGGAGGACCTGACCGTGGCACGCCACATGCTCGCCTGCTGCTTTCCGCCCAGCTACGAGGTGCCGCCCGCGCCCACCTTTGACCCCGCGCGCACGCACGCACGCCCCAGCCCGGGTTGAAACAACGATTTGGGTTTCGTGTTGATTTTGTTGAACCGGCTGAGAACTCGGGGAGGAACGCCCCAGGATGGCTGATCATTGGAACATTTGGCTGGCCTTTTCGATTTAAAGCTTTCGTGCCTGCAGGGATTCATCTTCTTGGTTCTTTCGGTAAAGTCACGTAGAAGGGAAATAATAAAATAATAAAAATGAAACATAATAAAAAAATTTCGATTAAAAGCTTTCGTGACTGCAGGGATTCATCTTCTTGGTTCTTTCGGTAAAGTCACGTAGAAGGGAAATAATAAAATAATAAAAATAAAACGTAATAAAATAATTCTCACGACGTTTCGGCCACAACGCAAGCAGCCATCCTCAGGTGAAGAACCAGGTCTGTCGGAAAGACAGCGTCTTTATTATTTCCCTTCTACGTGACTTTACCGAAAGAACCAAGAAGATTTGGCTGGCCATCGAACAAACACGGCCACCGCATTACGCGCTTCGAGATGCGCTTCTGCAGGCCATCTGGAATGCTCTTCCTTCTGATATTAGGAAGCCACTGGAGCTATGCACTTTTACATCATCTAGATTGAAAACTCATTGTTTTAGAACTGCTTTTTGTGTGTAGCTTGTTGTCTTTCCCCCACACCACCGATTAACAAGGTTGGCTACGTACGGTGCGAAAAACGTTCAACCTACATACATGCCCAATCGTCGCGCGTCTACCCCGACCGAATAACCACCCCTTGACACAGCGCAGTGTTTGTGCGGTTCGTTTGTTTGGGTGGCAGCGGTAACACTCGTGCCTTCACGGCAAGAAGTGACCTGGGTTCGATTCCCGACGCGGGAACTCCCTCCTCTGTGTGTAGTTTGTGTGTTCTACTCTCCCCCGTTCTGCATGGCTTTCCTCCAGGTGCTCCAGCTTCCTCCCAACGCTACAAAGAAAACAAAAAATGACCTTGTAGCTGTTGTGCGCGTACGTATGTTGAACTTTCGCACCCTACATAGCCAGCCGTGCAAATCAGAGGTACGGGTGGATGAACAACAAACTAAACGCAACACATGGCAACATCGCCCGCCACCTTGCAAACTTGGCAGGACCCGCCTGCAAGAGAGTGTTGAGACTCGGCGAGGCTTTCCTGGGTATACAAGCGAAGATAATGATCAATGGAGGCACCCTTGCCTTTGTGGCTTAACTGCAAACTCTGGCTTACTCGAGGATTAACCGTGACGTGAATTGTGTGACGCTGGCAGGTGTTCAACTTGTACCTGAGGCTGTACCACAGCGCGCTGTCCACACACCTACAAGAGATGGTGTCGGACGAGCTGGAGGGGAACGAAATCGTGTCTCTCCTCACCTGGGTGCTCAACACCTATCCCAGGTGACGCACAACAACCACCATTCGCCACTCGGTGGCGGTGACGTCACCACGGCGCTCGTGCCAGGCTAAGTGCGCTTGAGCGCCACGTGAAAAATGTAGAACCACGTGAAAGATGTGGAACGGAAACATAGGTTGATGTTGAGCACGGATACGCACACACACCTACACTGGACGCAAGGGTAAACAACGACAAAGGTCCGCTATATAATAGCCTGTTGGGGCAGGTGCTGTTAGCGAGCACCTGTGAAGTCTTGCACCGTACATCGCGACGGATGGGTGGCCAGAATCACGCCCGCCCGCCTGTGTCCCCAGTGCTGTTGGTTACACGCCGCACCAGGAACTCACTTGAGGCTGATTCGACTTTGTAGAGGACCCAGGACCATTTTAAATATTCGCTGCTGTTATTGGCCGTGAGTGGGAATCGAACTGATGTCACCAGTTTCGTAGGGCAGCACGCTAACCGCTGGGAGAGATGGCGACGGTTTGGGGGAGACGCCTTCACCCGGTAGTGGTGGCTAGTCAGGGCTGACGATGACGATGATGGTGGTAGTTATTGACGATGAATAACATGTCCATGGAGAGGAGCAGTGGCGCGGTGGTTAACACACCGCGTTAAGCACGCATCTAAAATAATCGATTATCACACGCACGATGCAATGCATGCATCGTGAGCAAAGGAATCGATTTAAATTTATGAATGGATACATCGTTACAATCCCCCACCCCTGGTAAGATGCCGGGTGGAAGTTGATGAGTGCAAGCCATACCAACACCTGTGTGTGCATCCACGCGTGCTTGTGTGTGTGTGTGTGCGTGTGCCCGTGGGGAGCGGTAGTGTAGTGGTTAGCGTGCTGCGCTATGAACCTGGCGACCCGGGTTCGATTCCCGCTCACGGCTAACACCAGTGACGATTATCTGAACCGGTCCTGGGCCTCCCCTAGGTCGACTCAGCCTTAAATGACTACCTGGTGCAGTGTGTAAACATCGCCACTGGGGAGACAAAGGCGGTCGGGCGTGGTGCTGGCCACCCACCCCCTCGTGTACCGTTCCGGCCTTCATAGGTGCTCGCTAACAGCACTTGCCCCTACAGTCTGTTAAGGCTATACGGGGGATCTTTGTCTTGTGCCCGTGTCATCACTGTGACCGACAGTGAGGAGCTCATGGCTCACCCTGACCTGGCTGAGGACGTGGACTTGAAGGCCCTCGGTCCCTTGCTCTCCAACGACATAATCAACCAGCTGCTGAGCAAGTACATCACCACCATGAAGGTGTGAACTTTTGACTCTCGCCTTGGTGGGAGTGAACCTCACGTTGAGGCGGCCGGTTCGCCCCGGAGGTCGGAGCGCTGAGTTGGCGCCGCCGCTGAGATCCGGGGTTCGAATCAAGTTCATTTATTAGGTATAGCCCTGTGAGCCATTCGGCTCTTGAATCCCGGCAGCTGTCTGTGATTAAACGGGTAGGTTCATTGATAATTTTTTTTTATTACCCTTTTATCAGGCAACAAAACGGACACCTTTTTTTACAAGGAGTCATGTTTGCATTGAGCACAATACCTGCGGTCGGAATGCAAACAAAAAACACAACTCTGAAAATGTATGCACTGTCCTTGAAGTTGATTGGTTCACACCCGAGACAGCTTTTCTTAGAGCCTAGTCTCACATGGTGTTGGACCAGATGACGCCAAAAGGCGCAAAAAGGTGTCGGTTTTGTTGCCAGATAAAAGGGTAAAAAAACAATGATCATATTTTGCTACTGGCAAAGGAGGTTCCAATGAGGTAGGTTCATTGTCACACTGTTTGTCTGTATTCCCATACCTATGCCTGCCGCCTTCACCATCCTGCAGTGACCAGCGTGGTGAAGTATGGTGAAATACCCCACCATGACCCACCCGGCATGGGGAGGCGCTCATCCAGCAGTGGATTGACAGAGGCCTCTGCATAGGCGTATATACATTTTCATCGCCAGCTTAGCTCCGGCTGAGCTGGAATGATGTCCGAAGTTCCGCTATACATGCCTGGAGATTTTTAAATTCATATCTGGATGGCTTCATGAACAAATCTCTGAAGGTAGCCGGTAGGTTTGCAGAGTACCTCCGTCTTGGAAAAATCAATTTCACGTGAGCTCACAGCGTTAAAGCAATGATCGGCAACGGCAGAGGTATTGGTCCTACCGTGTTTCAGATCCGCCTTGTGTTCACGGACGCGGTCGTTTCGTTTCCGACCGGCTACCTTCAGAGATTTGTTCATGAAGCCATCCAGATGTATAAACACGGACACAACTTCAACCGAGAGGATGGGAACAAACTGAGCAATCATTGGAAGGATGTTATTAACCAGGTAAAGTCTTAACTGACTGTGATGTTTCCATCCAACCTGCATATGTCAGCTGTTATTTCGACTCTCTGTCTCTCTATTTATGCCTCTCTCTGAGATCTCTCATGCTCACATGTCCGTTGCAATGCACTCTCTTGGCTTTGGATTGCAAATTTAAACACGGCAAAATTGAGTCTTCCGCCGTTGCCGATCATTGCTACAACGCTGTGGGCTCTCATGATATTGTTTTTCCCGAGACCAAGGTGCTCTGCAAACCCTCTGGCTACCATCAAAAGTTGTACACGAAGCCATCCAGATATACAAACACAGACATAACTTCAACCGTGATGATGGGTACAAACTGAGTAATCATTGGAAAGATGGTATTAACCATGCAAAAAAGATTTAACTACACATTTTTGGACCATCTTATCTGACAGGTACTATTCTACTTTACGGAGTGTTGACATCCCCAGCGTTTAACAGTACTCTCCTTTTTAAATCCTTCATATTAAGTTCACTTGCTTGCTTGCTTGCGCGCTTACGACCGTGCAAATCTTTCGGTCGGTTTTTAACCCACTTCCCATGATCCAATCGAGCTGACATTTTGCACACAGACTCGTTGTGCCAGACAATTAATTTTCGTGAAAATTTTTTTCCAAAATTTTCCACTTTTTAGGAAAAAAAAAATTTCATATTTAATTTAAAACACCAACGTGATAAAAATGAAACTCTTACTCAAGAAAAACAGAAATGAATAATAAAATAAAACCGATGCCACGCATATAAAGGATTTATAGTGAAAAACTTTGTTTTTACGGGTTAAATTTTTTTGTATTTGGGTTGTCACCAACACTGGGTACGACAACATGTGCTTTGTCGTTCTCTTCTAGCATGTGCACCCTTAGCATGTGCGCCTTTTGCATGTGCACCCTTAGCATGTGCACCCTTAGCATGTGCACCCTTAGCATGTGCGCCTTTTGCATGTGCACCCTTAGCATGTGCACCCTTAGCATGTGCACCCTTAGCATGTGCACCCTTAGCATGTGCACCCTTAGCATGTGCACCCTTAGCATGCGCACCTTTAGCATGTGCACCCTTAGCATGTGCGCCTTTTGCATGTGCACCCTTAGCATGTGCACCCTTAGCATGTGCACCCTTAGCATGTGCACCCTTAGCATGTGCACCCTTAGCATGTGCACCCTTAGCATGTGCACCCTTAGCATGCGCACCTTTAGCATGTGCACCCTTAGCATGTGCGCCTTTTGCATGTGCACCCTTAGCATGTGCACCCTTAGCATGTGCACCCTTAGCATGTGCACCCTTAGCATGTGCGCCTTTTGCATGTGCACCCTTAGCATGTGCACCCTTAGCATGTGCACCCTTAGCATGTGCACCCTTAGCATGTGCACCCTTAGCATGTGCACCCTTAGCATGCGCACCTTTAGCATGTGCACCCTTAGCATGTGCGCCTTTTGCATGTGCACCCTTAGCATGTGCACCCTTAGCATGTGCACCTTTAGCATGTGCACCCTTAGCATGTGCACCCTTAGCATGTGCACCCTTAGCATGTGCACTTTTAGCATGTGCACCCTTAGCATGTGCACCCTTAGCATGTGCACCTTTAGCATGTGCACCCTTAGCATGTGCACCCTTAGCATGTGCACCTTTAGCATGTGAACCCTTAGGATGTGCACCTTTAGCATGTGAACCCTTAGCATGTGCGCCTTTAGCATGTGCGCCTTTAGCATGTGCACCCTTAGCATGTGCACCCTTAGCATGTGCACCCTTAGCATGTGCACCTTTAGCATGTGCACCTTTAGCATGTGCACCCTTAGCATGTGCACCCTTAGCATGTGCACCCTTAGCATGTGCACCCTTAGCATGTGCACCCTTAGCATGTGCACCCTTAGCATGTGCACCCTTAGCATGTGCACCCTTAGCATGTGCACCTTTAGCATGTGCACCCTTAGCATGTGCACCCTTAGCATGTGCACCCTTAGCATGTGCACCCTTAGCATGTGCACCCTTAGCATGTGCACCCTTAGCATGTGCACCCTTAGCATGTGCACCCTTAGCATGTGCACCTGTTGTTCTCTTTTAGCCCCCCCCCCCCCCCCAATACGTTCCATTCATTGGCTACCACATTCAGATAAGCTCCTCCCCCCCTCCTGCCCCCCCTTTAACTTGTATTTAAGAACTTGTATCTTTGAATTTTTTGCCTCACTTGATACAGTAAATCTAGCTGTGACGGTCCCACCTGATGACGGAGACTTGTGTTGCCTCCGAAACGTCGTGATTTATTATCTTATTTCTATCATTACTTTTATTAATTTTATTTTTCACCCACGTGACTTTACCGAAAAAAAACCTAAGAGTATGAATCCTTGCAGTCACGAAAGCTTCAAATCTAGAATTTGCATTGCACTTGCGTGCTCACATGTCTTTTGGATTGCACTCTCATACTCACATGCCCTTCGGATTACACCCGTTGGGGTTGCACTCCCTCGTCGAGGAGGAGGCCGCTCTATCTACAGTTACATGCTTATCTTGTTCTGTTGCCCTCTCTGTCATCCCTCCCTCGACTCCCTCTCTCCACTTCCTCCCTGCCCTGCAGTCGAACATCGTTGGGTGGCTCAGGAAGGCATTGGAGACCGACTCGAAAGACTGGTCCAAGGAACAGGAGCCCGAGGCCGACCACGACGGGTTCTTCCAGACGACGCTGCCCTCCATCGTTTTCCAGGTGCCTCCTTTCAGCGGCGTTGGGACTACTAAGTCACGGGGCTTCTCCCGGCGAGTCGTTGGGTCGTACCGCGTTTGTCTGTGAAAAAGAGAGCTTCGTTAGCTCATCGGACTCCTCCAGTGCAAGTAAATGTTCTGATCTTGGTCGTTCGTCACGACGTCCCCATGGTTTCGCTTCACGTGCCGGGAAGCTTCCACCTTGGCCCGCAGTGTAAACAAACATCGGCATCGGGGAGACGGAGACAGCCGGGCGTGGTGCTAGCCATCCAGTTCGTTCGTATGCTGTGCAGGCCTTCATGCGTGCCTCACAGTGACAGCACTTGCCCCAACAGTCGGTTAAAGTTCTACGGCGGATCGTTGTCTACGGATGGCACGCCCACCGCGAATACAGGGTGCCCTCTAAGTAACGCGGACAAGTGTCTGCGTCCGGCACGAAACAAAGTGTTTTACGCCGAGAAATGCCTGAACGATGAAAAATAATTTTGGGAAAATTTTTAAAATCGCACTCTCAAAGCTAAAAAATGTGGACAGCGTGCAAAGCAATGTTGCGTTTCCACGCTGCGCAGAAAACTACGCGCGAACTAGTCCCTGTTTGGTACTGTACTGTACTGTGCAGCTACAGCCCACAGCGCTGGATTGTGCATTTCACAATTGGCTTGTGAATTTCGTTGGTTTCACTGTTTTTTCCCTTGTGTCTGGCTTTTTATATATTTTCACGAGACCACAAGTGATAGGTTTGCTTGCTGCCATGTTTGCGGGTCACGTGACCACTTGAGTCAGAGGTTGAGCAGTTGATTAGCAATCCGTGTCTGTAGTGGTAAGCGCACTGCGCGAATTCCCGCTCCTGACCAATAACAGTGGCAAATATCTTACCCGGTTCTGGGGCTCACCTCGGTAGAACTCACCCTTACATGAGTACCTGGTACAGTATCTAAAAACATCTCCACTGGGGAGACATGCCGGCCTTCATAGGTGCCACTCGCTAACAGCACTCGCATTATCGTTCCCGTTGAAGGCGACACGGGGGGGATCTTTGCCTTTTGCATATTTTAAAAATCCTTTATATTAAGTTGACTTGCTTGCTTACTTGCGCGCTTACGACCGTGCAAATCTTTCGGTCGTTTTTTAACCCACTTCCCGTGATCCAATCGAGCTGACATTTTGCACACAGACTCGTTGTGCGTGACAATGTATTTTCGTGAAAAAAATTTTCCAAAATTTTACACTTTTTAGGAAAATTTTTTTTATATTTAATTACCAATTGCTTAATGGTGCCAGCCATTCATCTGACCCATAGGTGGCAGCCATCTCAAGCCAGAGGACGAGAGGACTCTAGCCGCCACGCATATAAAGGATTTATAGTGAAAAACTTTATTTTACGGGTTAATTTTTTTTACTTATCTCTCTGCGAGTCGGGCTTACCGGTAATCCGGGATGATCCGCCGCCGACATTACTGTTCCCAGATGATGGAGCAGAACTTGCAGGTGGCCACGCAGATCAACGAGGACCTCAAAATCAAGGTCCTGCAGCTGTGCCTCCAGGAAATGAACACCTTCCTGCGACGGTGACTGCCCTACACAATGGAGCGCCCGGCTCTGCCCTCCCCGCGCCGTTGTTTGGTTTCCCCCCCTCCACTCCCCTCCCACCCCGTCCCCTCCTCCTGGTTACTCACAGAGAAGGGGGAGACGAGCGGGGACTCGATAGCGCAGGAGAGATCCGTCGCAGGGCGCGCACAAGGGCGCGTGTGCGTTGCGTGTGCCCTGATCATGTGACCTGATCATGTGGGGAGCGGTGGTGCAGTGGTTAGCGCGCTATGCTCCGAACCAGAACCTCGGGTTCAAGAAATAGAAAAAGGCCCTCGACAATAAGTGCCCCTTTCGGTAAAGTCACAAAGAAGGGAAAAAAAAAATAATAATAATAATCAAAATAAAACATAATAATAAAAATAAAAAATAATAAAAATAAAACAATAAAATTATCACGATAAGTGCCCCCTCGAGGCAGCGGACGTTGGAAATCCCGTGACGTCGTTTGGAATAGAGAAGAGAGCGCACGCACGCCGGCGTCACTGTCCAAACTTGCCAAGATTTGAAAATTTCCCCGCGGAAAAAATTTATCGCGATAGGTCTGACGCACGGCAACGGCAACATCGTCGTACCCTGCTGCTGAAACTCCATCAGACGGCAGGCTGCGTGGAACGTGGGCGCCCATTGCTTTCCGATAGCCCTGCTGCTACAAGAGCGATGGCTGGCGCGAAGACGTGGTGTGCTAAACTATCGTACGTTTTTGTTGATGTATCGCGAAGTATTGGCTCGCGGTGAGGCTGATCGCTGGCGGGGGTGTGGGTGTGACGTGGGTGTGACGTGGGTGTGACGTGGGTGTGGAGTGGGTGTGACGGTGTGACGTGGGTGTGACGTGGGTATGATGTGGGTGTGACGGTGTGAATGACGTGGGTGTGACGTGGGTATGATGTGGGTGTGACGTGGGTGTGTCGTGGGTGTGACGTGGGTATGATGTGGGTGTGACGGTGTGAATGACGTGGGTGTGACGTGGGTGTGACGTGGGTGTGACGGTGTGAATGACGTGGGTGTGACGTGGGTGTGTCGTGGGTATGATGTGGGTGTGGCGTGGGTGTAACGTGGGTATGATGTGGGTGTGGCGTGGGTGTGACGTGGGTGTGACGTTGGTATGATGTGGGTGTGACGGTGTGAATGACGTGGGTGTGACGTGGGTGTGACGGTGTGAATGACGTGGGTGTGACGTGGGTGTGTCGTGGGTGTGACGTGGGTATGATGTGGGTGTGGCGTGGGTGTAACGTGGGTATGATGTGGGTGTGGCGTGGGTGTGACGTGGGTGTGGCGTGGGTGTGACGGTGTGAATGACGTGGGTGTGACGTGGGTATGATGTGGGTGTGACGTGGGTGTGTCGTGGGTGTGACGTTGGTATGATGTGGGTGTGACGGTGTGAATGACGTGGGTGTGACGTGGGTGTGACGTGGGTGTGACGGTGTGAATGACGTGGGTGTGACGTGGGTGTGACGTGGGTGTGACGTGGGTATGACGTGGGTGTGACGTGGGTGTGTCGTGGGTGTAACGTGGGTATGATGTGGGTGTGGCGTGGGTGTGACGTGGGTGTGGCGTGGGTGTGACGTGGGTGTGACGTGGGTGTGACGTGGGTGTGACGTGGGTGTACAGGGGGTTCCCCAATATACGTCGGGGTTAGGGACCGGAAAGTTGCAACTTATAGCAAAACGACGCGTAACGGAGAATTCCTTTACCCCGTTAAGCATAATGGGGAATGGTGGGAGGGGGTGGCGGGGGTAGGAAGCTTAAGAGCATGACCGTGTCCTGCGCGACGCAAGATGGGGGGGCGATTTCTCCCGTGAGAAACAATGAAAACAAAGCCGAGCTCGGGCTCGCAAGCGGCGTAACGACGCGTGCGCGGGGGAAAATTCACGTCGGGTTGCTCACGTATATCGAGGCGACGTATATCGGGGGACCTCTCCCCCCATCTCCCCTCCGTTACCCGTGTCCAGGTACCGCGATGCGATTTTGGGGTACAGAGAAGAGCACCTGAAGGACAGGAACAAGCCTCCCTTCTTCGTGCACTACATGATCGCCCTCGTCAACAACTGCCAGACGTTCAAGTGAGCTCCGCTCCCCCCCCCCCCAACCCTCACCACCACCACCGCCACCACCACCGCCGCCAAATCTTTAACTTTTAACGGATGTGTATTTTGTTCCAGACAAAAACGGCCGTGCCGAAGCGAGCCTAGCCGCTTGCACTTAACCCTCTTGGGGGATTGGAAAGGAATGCGTCTGGCCTAGGTCTGCGCGCATGCATGCACGTGTTCTACTCGATGCCAAGTTTCTAACGATCCGATTGTGCTTCCAGTTTCGACTGCCGGACACGCGCGCAGCATTAGGGCCGAGCCGTGGCCTCCGCGTACCGGCCGCTTGCGCGAAACGTCATCGTCCGATCCGTAACGAATTTTCGTCATCGTAACGCAATCGCGGAAATAACATCGGCCAACGGCGTCGCTCTCGCCGTATCCCTTGACCCCGGCTGGGTCTGGCTGCAGAGTGGACGCTCATCTTGCTATGGTTGTCATCGCCGTCATCGTCGTCGTCATCACGAACATCGTTGTAGATCGTCATCGTCGTCGTCATCAGAACGACTGAGAAGATATTTTGCGTTCAAAACGCTAGGGGTGGTGAAATGATTCACCTGTTTCCCCCCCCCTCCTCTCTCTCACCACCACTTCCAACGGGGGGGGGGGGAGGGTGGGGGGAATGTGATCAACTGTCACTGTTCAGAGTTGCAATTCGATTCAAAAATCACTTCGGTAACATTTCAGCAATTTTGGGTAACGTGAATCCATTAAGCACAAAGTCTACGAATCAATCATCCTCCGCCCCTTGGCGGTTGTGATGCATGAATCGTGATCTCGTGAAGACGCAGTCGACAGTCGATTCTACGAAGAATACACATGACACAGTGCCCATAACTTTGTTCCTAACGCTCACCCCTAACGCTTACACCTGATGCTCACCCCTGGCGCTCACCCCTGACGCTCAACCCTGATGCTTACACCTGACGCTCACCCCTGACGCTCACCCCTGACGCTCACCCCTGACGCTCACCCCTGACGCTCACCCCTGATGCTCACCCCTGACGCGTCGCTTACCACTGACGCTCATCCCCTAATGCTCACCACTGAAACTCACCCCCTGACGCTCACCCCCTGACGCTCACCCCTGATGCTCAACCCTGACGCTCACCCCTGACGCGACGCTCACCCCTGACGCTCACCACTGACGCTCACCCCCTAATGCTCACCACTGACACTCACCCCCTGACGCTCACCCCTGGCGCCCAACACTGACGCTCACCCCTGACGCTCACCCCTGACGCTCATCCCCTAACGCTCACCCCTGACGCTCACCCCTGACGCTCACCACTGACGCTCACCACTGACGCTCACCCCTAACGCTCACCATCGCCCGTAACCCTAACGTGGCGTGTGGCGGCGTGCGTGTCCCTGTTTGCGGCGGTGACTGGGGCAGGGACTCGATCGCGAGCCTCAAGCGCAAGTACACCAAGTACGACGACGACGACGACGAAGTGTCGGGGGGAGGCTCCTCCTCCTCCTCGTCGCCCGACATGAGCCCCGAACTGGACCGCATCGCACGCGAGGGCTGCCACCTGCTGCTCAAGGAGGTCTTCCTCGACCTGGAGGTGAGGGCGACCCCAGCGACCTTCACGCGGCTTGTGAGGTCACGGAGCGTGGACGACGCGGTGGGGCGGGTGGCGGCGGCGGCGGCGGTGACGCCACGGCAGTTAAGAGCGCGATGATTACCAGAGGTCGCAACCGGGTACCCGATACCCGTACCCTACCCGATACACGGCTACCCGTACCCGGCCGGGTACGAGTACCCGTTTGCGACCCTGGTGCGGCCGGGTACGGGTACAGGTAGGCCGTGAGTCACTGGTGAGTAACCGTTTGTCACTCATTTCCCAACGTCTTGTCTCTTCTCACAATTCAAGTTCCTAGAATCAACCCACCCGCGCCTGCAACATGGCTTCATCTCAGAGGTCGCTATCGGGTACCCGATACCCGTACCCTACCCGATACCCGGCCGGGTACGGGTAGCCGGGTATCGGGTAGGGTACGGGTACCCGTTTGCGACCCTGGTGCGGTCGGGTACGGGTACGGGTAAGGAATCAAAACCCGTTTGCGACCTCTGGTGACGACTTTCCTGAGCTGCGCGACTGAGCAGTGTGGGATTTTTGGGTATAAATGATGCGGTACACGGTGGCGTGCCCTAAACTCAGTTCTTTGTGCCGCCATCTCACCGCGTGAGCGCACACCATAGCTCCCCAAACCTGCCAAACTTACCGTCGCGTTGTTCCTCGCGGGGAAATTGTTTTGGCTGAACGCATTCTGGACCAACGCGTCACCTTTCAAAGAACTCTTCTACCGCGTTCCCACGAGGAAATTCTGTCGATAGAATTCAGACAAACTGCGATAAGAGCCGGTAATCATAAATTACAGTACGGGTAGCGTCCAATCAGGCGACGGGAAAAATGTCATCTTGAATCTTTATTTAGTTCTCCAGTCCGCCCTCATTCATCGGCCCAGGGCGTACGCACTCCTCCGTTGCATTGTCCAGAGGTGTCGCCTCTCCCGACGAATATGTTGCTAATTTATTTTATTTCGCAAACATCGGCGACGCGCCGGGGGCTTGAACCCCGATGGCCGCGCGGCGAAGGCCGGGACAGACCGGATGGCGCGCTGGTCTGGCTCCGGGAAAAAAAATCCCTCCTTTTGGAAGACGCCGAGGCGAGGAGGAGGAGGAGGGCGGCTCGCTAATGTGGAAAGTAACGAATTGATCTTGATGCGTGTGCATTGTTTAGTCAAGATTAGCAGGCAACAATGGGTGCTCAAAATCATCACACGCTGCCATTGTGTGTCAGGAGGGACATGGATAGGGGTGGGCAGCCTACGCAGAGCGAGAAGCTTTGGCTTCCGTACGCGCTGCAAGATTTGGATTTGTGCGTCAATGTTGCCCGTTGTTGTGTGTGTGCGTGCGCGTGTGCGCATGTGTGTGTGCGTGCGCGTGTGTGTGTGTGTGCGTGCGTGTGTGTGTGTGCGTGCGTGTGTCCGTGTGTGTATGTGCGTGCGTGTGTGTGTGTGCGTGCGTGTGTGTGCGTGCGCGTGTGTGTGTACTCATCCCGCGTAGCGGGTAGCGCACCGCACTTAGTAACCCGGCCGCCCGAGTTTGATACCCGCTCACGGCCAACATCGCTGACGAATATCTGAGCCGGTTCTGGGCCTCCCGTAGGTCGACTCGGCCACGAATAAGTACCTGGTGCGGTGTGTAACACACATCGGCACTGGGGAGACGAAGGCGACCGGGCGTGGTGCTATCCAAACCCCACCCCCCCCGTGTGCCTTTCTGGTCTTTATGGCTGCTCGCTAACAGAACTTGCAACGAAAGTCTTTAAAAGGTTGCACGGGGCATCTTTGTCTTGATGCTCACCCCCTAAAACAGACTGCATCTTCTTCACTTATCTCCGCATCTATGTTTTACCGCCGCGAACGTGCTAATCGCACCCACGATTAGCACGTTTGGCTACGTACGGTGCAAAAGAAGTTGACAATACATACGTACGCGACAACGCTGCATTTTGCTCGCGGTCCCGCGGAAACAAACACACCCACATCGTACAACTTCGCCAGTGACGCTCATTCGCTCGCTCACACCGCTCACCCGCTCACCCGCTCACCCGCTCACCGCTCACCGCTCACCCGCTCACCGCTCACCCGCTCACTCGCTCACCCGCTCACCACTCACCCGCTCACCCGCTCACCCGCTCACCCGCTCACCGCTCACCGCTCACCCGCTCACCGCTCACCGCTCACCCGCTCACCCGCTCACCCGCTCACCGCTCACCCGCTCACCCGCTGACCCGCTCACCCGCGCCCCCACCTCGCCGCAGCCTCACCTGCAGGAGCTGCTCACCCGCAAGTGGCTCACGGACTCCAACGCGATGGACACCATCTGCGTGACGGTGGACGACTACTTCAACGACTTCTCCAAGATCAAGAGGCCGTACAACAAGGTTCGCGGCCACGGCGACGCTCTCGCGACGTCCGTCCGTCTGTATGTTCGTCAGTCCGTGCGTGCCTCCGTCCGTCCATATGTCCCACCGTCCGTGCGTCCGTCCGTGCATCCGTATGTCCGTCCGTCCGTGCGTCCGTCCGCCCATATGTCCGTCCGTCCGTGCGTGCCTCCGTCCATCCGTATGTCAGTGTGTCCGTCAGCAGAAGCCACTGGAGCTATGCACTTTTAAATGTAGATCTGACACGTTTCTTTAGAAATGTTTGTGTTTAGTTTGTGGTCCTTCCCCCGCACCTCCAATTATCACGGTTGGCTACGTACGGTGCGAAAGAAGTTCAGTATACATGCATGTATAAAACTAATTATGAAAGCTTTGCTAAGCCTTCGTCTGTGTGGTGGTGACTGCATTTGGGGTGCTTACGTGTGTCACGTCTATAAGCATACGTCCACACATGTTGGTATGTGCATTTTGTGTGTGTATGTGTATATATGTCTGCCTGTGTATGCACACACGGTGCATGTGTTTAAGTGTGTTAGCGTGTGAGTATGTGCGTATATTAGTTCCCCGATGTCGACACAGCCTCAGATGAGTACCTCGTGTGCCGTGCCGGCCTTCATAGGTGCTACCATATGAATAAAAAGTGTGCTGTACTTGGCCCTTCCCCCCTCTCCAACCATTATATAAACGGAGTGGTAGCTCCTGCAATCTCTCATTTACTTGATACAGCTGTCGTGGCTGTGACGGTTCCACCTGAAGACGGAAGCTTGTGTTGCCTCCGAAACGTCGTGATTATTATTTTATTTTACTTTTATTAATTTTAATGTTTTACCTACGTGACTTTACCGAGAAAAAACCTAAGAATATTCATAGGTGCTGCTCGCTAACAGCACTTGCCCCAACAGTCTGTAAAGTCCATACGGCGGGGGTGGGGGTGGGGGTGGGGGTGGGTGTTTGTCTGCGCTGCAGGAGATGACGACGCAGGCCCACCTGTGGGTGGTTAGCGAGTACGTGAAGGCGCTCATGCAGAAGCGCGTCTCCTTCAAGAGCTACGAGGAGCGCAAGGAGGCGGCCGAGAGGATGAGCCGCGAGGCGACGCAGATCAAGCAGCTCTTCCTCAAACTCGTAGGTGGCCCCGAGATTACATCGGCGCGTTGACAGGAGGTCACGGGACATACCCAGGTGCCTTGGCTTGACTGACTCGCTGAGATGATTTGGCTGATGCACGCACCACCTGCGCTCTCCACCGCGCCAGCCCACTGCGTTGTATCCTCCCCGGCGCTCCTTGCTGCGAGCATCACTCCTCTGCCCTCCGTTGTTGTCGGAGGTCCTCCTTCACGAACCTCCTCCACAGGCCCTGCCACCGCATAACCAAGCGGATTCTGTTTGGCAGGAGAGAGGGGCGGGGGGGGGGAGCGATGGGTTTACAATATGGTCCGTAGTTTTGGTTGCATGGCCACTGTGGCTCGTGTCTTCCATTCATCAAGGGAGATGCGCGCATCTGCCTGCTGTTGATGATGTTCTGATGCCGGTTTATGGCTGCACCAACCAGGGTTAGCACCGGCCTTGTTGACTCGGCACCGCGTACGGACAACGGCGATGGGTTTCAGCGCGAGTTTCCCCGCAGGGCTCTGAGGAGGGCGAGAAGCCCACGGATGTCATCCCGGCGCTGGCCGAGGTCCTCAAGCTCAAGGACTCGTCCTTGGTCTGCCTGGAGGTCACGGGTCTCGCCAACAACTTTCCCGACATCCGGTGAGTCGGTTAGTCGGTCGGTCTTCCTTCCCATCACTAAGCGAGGCTCAATTATTCCTGCTTAGCTTCCAAAATCATCGGATGAGGTCGGACGCTCACAGGGTTATTTAACTCTTGGCTAAGTCCGTGTCACCCCCGCCGTAAGCAAAGGGGGGCTTTGTGCTCATGTTCGTGACGGCTTTTGGGCACAGTGATGGAAATTCCACATCGTGGCGGCGGTGGGGGTGGCAGGATAATGTAGAAGATAACCAACTTGGACTTGAGATGGTGGGCCGAGTGATCCTAGACCGGGATTTGAACTTGAAACGTTCCGACTACGAATTTGGTTTCACGTTTGGCAATTTTGTGATCTCTGATTTGTCTGATTGCTAACGACGATTTTGGATCTTGTGTTTCAGACTTTCGGGTAATTTTTACGGGTTACGTGCCACGCGCGAAATGTGGTCGCGCTAACGACAGCGACATCACCCGTCGACGCAACTTTTGTCGAGAAATCCGCGCGAGTGAATGACGTCACTTCCGGCTCGCAGATAAACATCCGACACGAAAACATTCTCAGCGGCGTCGTCCAAATCTTTAATATCTGGTCGCCCGTCTCTGATGTCTCTGGTTAATCAGAAACATCGGGAAGACACGTCCCCAATGAACACGCACAACCAATGTTTGTCAACAAACAATGGCTGTGATTTTGTCACCACCGGGGAGACAAAGGCGGCCGGGCGTGGTGCTGGCCACCCACCCCCTCGTGTGCCGTGGCGGCCTTCACAGGTGCTGCTCACTAACAGCGCTTGCCCCAACAGCCTGTTAAGCCTGTACGGGGGATCTTTGTCTTTTGTGCGTGCCAGGGAGGAGCACATCTTGGTGCTGCTGGCGCTGCGCGGCGACGCGACGCGCGAGATGAGACAGACGGTGGTGGAGACGCTGGCGCAGAGCTCCCGGCAGGTCCCCGTCGGGTACCGGCCGGTGTTCGCCGACATCGCCGTGCCCACGTCCACGCTGCCCAAGCTCGTCAAGTAGCGGCGGACGCACGGTGTCCCGTCCCTCCCCCCCCCCCCCGACCGAAACTCCCGATTCCGGCCGGTTCACGTGGAAGCGTTGTGCCGGGGTCCGTTGGTTTGCCTGGCCCCCCTCCTCACCTCACCGGCTTGTTTAGAGAACGACGAAATCGCGGAGAGAGCAAGCGGCTGTCGTTTCGCTCTCCCTCCCTCTCCCTCCCTCTCTCCGTCTCGCTCGCCCTTCGCGAGAGAGCGGCGGACGCTTGTCGAGACGTTTGGACGCCCGCAACGAAACGCCATTTAAGGCGCGAGGCCGAAGTGAGCCGGTGCCGAGCGTCTCGACCGCTCCGCCGAGAAGAAACCGGATGCCGTTGAGCTCTCGCCTCCGTTGGAAATTAAAAAGGAGAGAACGGCGACGCTTCCTCCTCCACCTCTCAAGTGCCGGCGGCAGTCGCTCCTCAAGGGGAGCGGTGGCGGTGGGGTGTGGGGGGAGGGGTCGGGGGTCGGTGGGGGTGTGTTGACCTCTTGTTAGGGTGACTTCCTGTTTACACGCACGCACGCCCCCCCACTCCTCGAACCCCCGCGCAAGCTAAACAGGGTTAGAGCGACAGCGCCGGTGAACCGCCACAGGATAAACAATAACATCTCGGGCCTGACAGCATCCTTCAGGGACGTCTTGACGAACGTTTTCCAGCGGCATCAATCTGTCGAAGATGTCACAACCACCCTCCCCCCCCCCCCCCCCTCCGGTTGGGGTTTTGACTCTAGCCGAGTCCCATCGGCACGGCGTGGCCCAATAGACAAAGGCGTGTCGCTGGCTCGCCCCGACGGTAGTCGACGGCGTTCCACCGGACGCGGTCGGTCGAGGTGCGAGCGCCCACGCTTGACCCCCACCAGCACACGCCACCTGCCGATCGACCCCGCCGTGGCCGCCCGGTGGGGCAGACGGAGGCCCGGTGGGATTTGGGAATCTTGGTCACCGTTTCAACTGGCGGGAGGGGGTGGGGGGGGGGTCAGGAGCCGGCATCGAAAACTGACGACCTCTGGATCGCGAGCGCAGGGCGCTAACCACGGCAGCTACCGCCCCCCTCTTGCCCATCTTGGCTCGTGCGCCCCGCTCTGTTTACTACAGCAATAAGGATGACGACATCGCGAGCAAACGGGTTTTGGGGGAAGCGTTTGCCGTGGCCGCGAGCGTAGTCGATGTTTCGTGCCGACGCCGAGCTGCGGAGCCCTAGGCCCCTGTGCAGAGAATCACACCGCGAGCCGCCCCCACCGCCTCGTCACGTGGGAACGAGGCAACTGCTATGGCTTGCCCCCCCACCTCCCCCCCTCCCCGTCCCCCACGTAAGTGAAACGCCGCACGTGGCCTACGACCGAACACTTGCCTTTTCCAGGCTGCCTTCGAATATCAGTCTCGTGCGCTTTTCTTGCACGGACAAAAACATTTCCTTCGCGAGGTTCCACTTTAATTCGGGGCTGAACTTCGAGCCGGGTCTCTCCGGATCGGCGAGTGGGAACGCATCTACGACGCCCGGCACACCGCATCCAGGATATACCCTCCACTCGAGTCACGTGCCTATTTGCCGCCTGCCGGCGGTGAGAGGGTTCAAGTCCCTGGGGGGTACACAGGTGATGCTTGCGGGCTGACCTCTCTGTGTTGATTGCACCGCAAGTGGCTACTCTCTTTTGTAACGAGGCTTCCTTTGGCCGTGCGTGTCTCTTTCTCTCTGTCGTGAAACCTTCTCGCGCTGTTGCACACGCCGCAATGCTTTTTTCACGCGGTGCTCAAGCAATAAAGTTCTCCACGCCTTAACTTGCGCAAGCGTTGTGTACGTTTGTGTGCTGCGTGTGTGCTGCGTGCGTGTGTGCTGCGTGTGTGCTGCGCGTGCTGGTACAGCAGGGGGCACAGGTGGCACATCGGCCAGTGATGCCAAGTCAACCCATGGCACCTGGGTCTGTCCCGTGACTTCCTGCCAGCGGGCGTTCGACACTTGGCGTGGCCTCAAATTGCACTTGGCCTGCCACGAGCGCCGTGGTGACATCACCGCCACTTAGTGGCTAATGGCGGTTGTGGTTGTTGTTGCTGTGTGTGTGACGCTCCTTTGACCTGCAGTGCCACCTCGGACAGATACATTCTCGCACACCGCGAATCCGAGACGCAATGTCCGAACCACGCTGCACGGTAGCTTGGCGAGCGATTCCGCGAAGCGAGAATGGAGAGGTGCTGGCGGCTTGGAATTAAGGCCTTGATCCAACTGGACCGTTATCCGTAGCTGATGATGATGCGTGTGTGTTGAACTTCTTCTCTCGCACCGTACGTAGCCAACCGCGCTAATCGGAGGTGCGCGGGAAGGACAACAAACTCGGCACAAAAATAAATTCTGAAGTTTATGTTCGTGTGATGATAATCATCATATCTGATCTGATCCTGGGCACACCCCTCCTTTCACCATCCCGGAATGGCTTTGTGCAGTGAAGTATGGTCAATGCCCATGAACTTACACGGTGTAGGGGAAGCCTTCGTTCAAAAGTTACTTTGCAAAGGGGGCTGTATTTTGTTATTATCGTGTATTAAGTTAGCTGCTAAACAATGGCCCATGCTGTGCAATGTTGTTTCCCACCAAATAGTGGTATTTGACATCTTCTTGGTTCTTTCGGTAAAGTCACGTAGAAGGGAAATAATAAAAATAAAACATTAAAAAATATAATTATAATTCTCACGACGTTTCGGCCACAACACAAGCAGCCGTCCTCAGGTAAAGAAACAGCTGTCGGAAAGACAGCGTCCCAAATGGGAACGCTGTCTTTTTGACAGCTCTGTTGCGTTCCCTGTTTCTTCACCTGAGGAAGGCTGCTTGTGTTGTGGCCGAAACGTCGTGGGAATTTAAATTTATATTTTGAATGTTTTATTTTATTATTTCCCTTCTACGTGACTTTACCGAAAGAACCAAGAAGATTAATCCCTGCAGTCACGAAAGCTTTAAATATAATTATTTTATTATGTTTATTTTTTATTATTTTATTATTTCCATTCTACGTGACTTTACAAAAAGAACCAAGAAGATGAATCCCTGCAGTCACGAAAGCTTTGAATATCAATATTTATTTATGTTTTAATTTTATTATTTCCCTTCTACGTGACTTTACCGAAAGAACCACGAAGATTAATCCCTGCAGTCACGAAAGCTTTAAATATAATTATTTTATTATGTGTTATTTTTCTTATTTTATTATTTCCCTTCTACGTGACTTTACCGAAAGAACCAAGAAGATGAATCCCTGCAGTCACGAAAGCTTTAAATCGAGTATTTGACAGGTTCCCCGCTCTTGCAGGCTGATGTTCTCGCCGCGTTACCGCGTGTCGTCCCCAGCCTTTTCGCTCGCCACGCGCTCCGGAGCGTCGTTCGAGAAGCCAATATTCCTAAAAGGTGCAGCTTTCACCGAACAATTCCGGACTCCGTGCCCGAACAAACGTCGGGCATCGTAACCCCGACGGCACGCGCCAAACACAACCCAACGGCGATGACGACGACATCATCGCGACGATCCGTCCGGCGCGAACGCGAGGGAAGGAAGTAAAATAAGTAATATTTTAAAAAACGTTTTTTAAACACGCTTATTGAAATGTACGAGTAATGGAAGAACTCCACGACTCCAGGAAGTGGCCCCGAAGTTTGCCACAACGTAAGGTGCCGTGGCCAATTACAGCCAACGTCAGTTGAGGCGTGGACAATTAGACCCAAGCCGAAACATAACATATAAAAAATAATGTTTAAAAATAGTTTTTTTATGATAGCATATAGTATTGATAATTGGTTCTTTACCCTTCTATCTGGCAACAGGGTAAAGAACCAATTATCATATTTTTACTGGCAAATGAGGTCCCCATAGAGCATATAGTATTGTCATCAGTTTGACATAAGTATACCAAGTTTGCAGTGGATACCACATTGGGAAGTGGGTTCAAATTGAGTTACAAGATTTGAGGATACAACAACAACAGACAAAGCGTGTAAATAAAAAGCCCAAACCACTCGGTCTTGGTGGCCCATCCATCGCGTCTCCACTCCGTTATTCCGGCTGTCGGATCGGTCGCATCCTCAAGTGTCAAATCTCAGCCCGAGCCTCGTACGCCATTCGGTTGCAAGCGGCAGCACCGGCTCTGGGTTGACCTGTCACGATGGGAGTGACGGACGCGGCGGAGGTTTTTGTTTTTCCTCGACCCCGACCGCCGCACCCCAAATCATCGCGGCGCGCAGTCGGGGAAGTGTGGAAACGTATCGCTCCATCACTTGAGATTCCGGGCTAAAGTCCGGGAATTCCTGCAGCTGCCACCACTAGCTCCCTCCCCTGCCCTCACCCCATCTCCCTCTCCTCCACCCTCCCCCTCAACTGTGCTGCAATTTTTTTTCCTGGGTTCATAAACTCCGTGGCTGCCCGACAAATGTAAATGCGTGTTTGTTTGCTGCGCTGCTCCTGCTGGGGGTGGTGCCGGCTGGTGGCGTGAAAGTCTAAACTTGGGGCCATGGACTCGTCCCGGCGTTGATTCCACGTGGAGAGGAACATTTGCAGACTCAACGTTTTACCGGGGGGGAGGGGGGGGGGAGAGGGGGGGAGGGGGGGTGGACAGGGGGGGGGGGGGGTGGGGGGAGGGGGTGGGAGAGGTGGGGGGGGAGGGGGGTGAGGAGGGGGGGAGGGGAGGGTGGAGGAGGTGGTGGGAGGAGGGGGTGGAGAGGTGAGAGGAGGGGGGAGGGG